GAGGTTGGGTAGTGGCGATGGTAAGCGCTCAAGTTACTACATCACTGAGGTAGAATACATGCCGAACATTCTTTGTCCTAGCAGATCTTCAAACACTTTGCCTGATCTCTGAGGGATTTGGGAGCTAATAGTTCTGACATACGTAATTGAAACACGCTTTCGAAGCACGAACATAACCTCGATTTCGGAAGACGAGAAGAAATCGAGTGCAGACCACACACCATAAGAGACGACGGCCAAGAAAAAAAGCCGCTTTTCTCTTGGCCGTCGTCTCTTATGATGTGTGGTCTGCACTCGATTTTCTTCTCGTCTTTCCGGAAATAGGGTATAGTTGCACGTGAATATGTAATTAGGGTGGGACGGTTTTATAGGGGAAAGAATGGTTGAAACCACGAAAACGAAAGTGGCAGCATTCGACTCCAGTGGGATGTGCTATACACGCTGGAATGCCGCTTAAAATCTTAGAGCGATTCAAATACGTTACCTGTTTGTATACAGACAGGCGAAATCGGTGTATGCTCAAGTTGTTCATACCCCTTACCCGGAAAGTGTTTAAACTGTGCATGGAACTTTGATTTGAGACCTACATGAATCGATAGTTACATGATGGTTGCAAATGGACAAGCAGAACTTATATGAAACTGCTAAGAAAGTTGTTAGCGATCGAATTGGTCCCAAGTTTGATTCCCTGTGGTGACAAATTTTTGTATTCTAGGTTGGCGCTAACAGGTGGGTCCCAAATGACGCCAGCGCTTAAGGCCGATGTCAGACTTTGCGAATCGCGCGATTCGCTAGCGTCTGCGGTCGCGTCGCGGCCAGTGAATCACTCAATTGGCTGGTACCGCAACGCGACCGCGGACGCTAGCGAATCGCGCGATTCGCAAAGTCTGACATCGGCCTAAGCGGGCCATTAGTATCCCTCGCAAAGTATGCTTTTCACCAAATATCATTGTACCAACGCTGCATTAGCATCAACTTTAGCCGCTCACAATTTCCATGGCAAGTTCGCGTAGCAGTTTTGCTTTGCTCCAACTCCATTATTTAAAACTCCATTAACTTCCAGGCTCCATCAATTTATCCAGGTCTTAGCTCAATGTCCATCTGAAGTTAACTCTTTTCTGGTAAGGAATATACACTGTTACATTGAAATGTTACCCCGTCAATCAAATTTGCAAAAGGGCTCAAGGTTCGCAAGTTGGAATGAGACCCTATTTTTAGGACCGCACAGATGCCACTGAGCATTTTAGTCATACGCTGGGATTGAACTACCCCTGCATCTTTTTCTCCCCCTTTCTTTCCTTTGCATTTCCTTTGAACTTAATGTTTTCGTTAGAACGCAAGAATAATTGCGTGATTTTCTGAACTTTTGGCACGTAGTTTAGCCCAAGCAGTTTTATTTTTTCCATTCCATCTCCATGAGGTCTTCGAACTAACCCCCCACTTCAGCAAGATTTCTGTGGCTGATTCCGGAGCCATCAGGATTATACATTTTAGACAACACGAAGAGGCCCAAAATTTTTTAAAAGATTCCAAAAGTTACCCAAAGTATTACGAACAATTCATAGAATACTAAAAAAATTCAAATGAATTTTGAGTCTTACTGCAATATTCCGGTGTATACTATTCGTCGGTATGTGTATGCGAAGCCAAGTATTTAGCACACTGCCACAGGGTTATACTTCGAGAACTAATGTTGTGGACCATGCGCGATAGGCCTGTGAAACATGAAAAGTGTAAGTGAAGAAATGCTTCCGAAGCCGCTAGATAAGAGAGCTGAAGGCTGTTTGAATGTGGCGTTGTTGGCAGTCGCTCAATTCACACGCCACTTCGAGCGTACAGTCTCATTTTTTCAAGGTGAGTTTTCTGTTAATCACCTTCTTATCTTATGCTAGGGCCACGCTTTGTTCACACATTGATGGGTGTCGAACGGTAAAATCTGTGGCTTTCAAAGTATTCAAGGAAAGTGCGCCGTGGAGTGGAATTGTGGCAACTATTAATTAAAGTAGCAAAATACGAATTGATGTTTGTAAATACCTCTAAAGGTAAATTATATTTATGGCATTTCTGTGTTTTGTGAGAAGTTTCTAGTGCACTTGTGAAAAAAAATCATATATAAATTTAAGATTCAAAATAGACCATGATCGAGTTTCCTTTAATCTCGTTATAGTTATGGCAATATTCAAGTTTGTTGTTTCCTCAGGATTTCTGATTGATATAGACTTTAATTGACTGCAAAAATGCTTTGTTGGAACGCTTGTAAAGGAAAAGTCGAAACATGATATTGTGAGACATCTTGAATATGTAATATTGTAAGAGTGGTCAGATATGCCCGCTCCTCTCAAACTCTTGTTACTTTGTCGGTCCTGGGTTCAATCAGTAATTAGAAGGATGTGGGGCATTGATGCACTCAACATAACTTCAAGGGTCACATTTCGCCAATATAAATAGTTTTACGTTTAATAAGAGGTTTACACTTTATCGGCTTATTCTGAGAAAGTTTACGCCTAAATGATTGTCATCAACAGACAAGTATACGCTGCGCTATTTTCGTTTTGTTTAATGGTTACGTAGCTACTTTACCACGAGACTTTGCATATTCAGTTCAATTTAGGTAGGGATATTGATGTCGACGGGCAACGGTGGATGTGTAGACGTTGTTGATTCGGTTTCTAAACGAATCAAACCGAAATACCACGTGTTTTTCACATATCCATGAAGGTTCGTCATCCTTTCCGCCAAGTGAGAACCACTCTAGTGAGCTTTATTCAGGTTACGGCTGCACGTCCGACGGTTATACGAAGTTCATCAACTGTTGTGTATGTGACGAAAACCTGCAGGCCACTGTGAGTTACCGAGTTCTAGCTTAGAAACTGTCCAATTTTAGACTATAAAGGCACTGGTCGCGATGATTCTAAGCGAATCCTTCTCTTGAGGGGGGTAGCAGGTCCCCTAATCGCAGGTGTGGTCATAGTGTCGCGACTTAAAAGTGCGCAACAGGAGAACTAATGCCTTCGCTTGACCGCTGCGACCGCTGCCAATGTTGTCAATCGCGGCATAAGTAGTGTTTGCGCCCACTCGCGTACAACACATTCTCTCGGTTTCAGTGTTTCTATAGTGTGTTTTGCTTGTCCTTCCCACACACATTCTCCTCATCGCAGTTCTAGTCTATATTCGAGCAAAATAACACATCAAATCGATCCCGACCCGTGCCTTTAAGGTGCAACCTTGATATGAACATCATGTCAAATAAGGAAAACCAGGCAATCGATATTCCAACAATATTTCTTGATAGAGGCGTAGTATGTTTTGTGGGTCCCTCATATCACGGAAAAATGTCTTATTGTTGTCATCTTATCGCCATGAGCAGAGTACTGTAGAGGACAAACGAGTGGTCCATGGCCTCTAGAACACAAAAGCGCTTTTGTGACTTACGAACCGCCTTGGCACCTCTGATAGGTTATCACCATTTCAGCGCAGCTGGTTGGTGATCTCTGGGTTGTCTCAAATGGTCAATGAACATAATGGTACAAAAACTCTCTGCGACCTGATAGAACCTTTTTAGGATTTAATCCCAAGGCCTTATAGCCCATCAGATCCTATAACCAGATCAGGATAGCTTTCATAGCTGAAACAAAGCTGCAATCGGAGGGTAGACGCTCTGATCAAATCTGATGATTTTTGGATAATTTTCAATTGAACTACATTTTCCCAATTTTATTAGCGATTTTATATGAATCTTTTCAGAATAGCCCGATCATATTCGATATTCCCGTACATCCTCACACGAAGCAATTCTATCTACAAAATGTCAAGAAAATAATGAAACGATATCGGCGAGCGGAGAAAAAGTGACGAGACGACGACGGGAAGATCATGGCGCTAGATGGAGACCGTGCCACACGACGACCATCACCACAGCCGCAGCACATTTCACTTCAACCTCATCGATCAGCGTTGTACAGAATTCTCTCATCACCACTCAGAGTCTTTAATAAAACCGTATTTTAATGATATTGAACCACATAAAAATAAGAAGAATTTTGTGAAAAAATCTTGAAATCATGTGCAGGAAACAGATGTGGGCCAACGAGCGCCCTCGTTACAAGGAGTCTAGTAGGCACTCTTTGATCCTTACTGCCCGACTTTTCAAAAATTATGTTGACTTTTTCTCGAAATCTGTCTCGGAATGTATATTTAACTGGAAATTTGCCCACACCGATAGTTAAACCGGTAAACATGAATATCAAAAGCGCATGGCGAGAAAGCGCCTGGCTCTGGCTCTACCATTTCAGCCTGAACCAGCGGCGCGAACTTTTGCAACTGCCTCAG